CCTCCTCCTCCTCCTCCTCCCTCCTCCTCCTCCTCCTCCTCCTCCTCCTCCTCCGCCCTCCCTCCTCCCCTCCTCCGCTCCGCCTCCGCCTCCGCCTCCGCCTCCGCTCCGCCTCCGCCTCCGCCTCCTCCTCCTCCTGCCCTCCTCCTCCTCCTCTCCTCCTCCTCCTCCCTCCTCCTCCTCCTCCTCCTCCGCCTCCTCCGCCTCCTCCGCCTCCTCCACCTCTCCGCCTCCTCCGCTTCCTCCTCCACCTCCTCCTCCTCCTCCTCCTCCGCTCCTCCTCCTCCCCGCCTCCTCCTCCTCCTCCTCCTCCTCCTCCTTCCTCCTACCTCCGCCTCCTCTCCTCCTCCGCCACCTCCTCCTCCGCCTCCGCCTCCTCCTCCTCCGCCTCCTCCGCCTCCTCCGCCTCCTCCGCCTCCTCCGCCTCCTCCTCCTCCTCCTCCGCCTCCTCCTCCTCATCCTCATCCATTTCTTTCCTTCTGAAGAGTTTCTTCCTGGCTCACCCAGAGGCCGGTTTTTAGAGCGGTCCTGGCGTTTCGCCTGAGACTTCCTCACCACCGGTCACTCTGAAGCATAAAACGTGATCAAAATGTGGCTCTCGCCTCAGCGCCGCGCACATTCGTTGTAAAAAATGACAATAAATTCGCAAATTAAGGGTGGGTGGTTTTCAAAATGTGGCTCTCGCCTTAGCGCCGCGCACATTCGTTAAAAAAAACTGCCGGGTTTCACGAATCGAGGGCAGCTCATGTTCAAAATCTGGTTTTCACCTTAGCGCCGCCCGTGGTAGAGGCCTACGAAGAGGGAGCTTGGAGGGAGGGGGAATTCCAACATCGTTGATGACTCTTGGGCTTACAACGGTCCTCCTCCTCCTCCTCCTCCTCCTCCTCCTCCTCCTCCTCCTCCTCTTCAGCCCTCGCCTTCCTCCTCTTCCTTCCCTTCGGCCCTACTTTGTCCTCCACCTCGTTGTTTTCCATCTCTGGGTTTTACTGGAGTCCTGGCCAGTTGGGCTGCGGATCCCAGACCTCCGGGGATTTTTACACAACAAAAAATATAGAGGTCCGCTGTTTCGAGAGATGCCTGACCGCCGGGGCTGCGGGTCCCTGGCCCCTGGGAATTTCAATTTTAACAAATGAAATTATCAAAATTCCCAGCAATCCAAAAATAGATGTTCTCTTATTCCTTAAAATCTGGAGGTCCCATTTCCTCAATCTGGCACCTTCCATGTTTCAGTTCGTTCCGAATTTATTAATTCTCTAATATGGAATTCTGGAGGTCCACTATTTTGGGGGTCCTCACCGCCAGAGCTGCGAATCCTTCAAATCTTGAAAGTATATAGGTCCGGCTGTTTCTGTGGCCAATTGGGGCCTCCTGGAACCTGCTGGGGCCTCCCGAGGCCTCCTGGGGCCTCCTGGGGCCTCCTGCGGCTTCCTGGGGCCTCCTGGGGCCTCTGTGGGGCCTCTTTGATGCCTTTTGGATCCTCGTGGGGCCTCCTGGATCCTCATGGGGCCTCGTGGGGCCTCCGAAGGCCCGCCAGGACCTCCTGGGGCCCCGTGGGACCTCCTGAGGCCCTTGTGTGCCCGCTGCTCATGGCCCTGGCTCCGCGGCGTCAGGCGCTATAAAACACCGATTCTGCGCAGGCGTCTCTTCTTTCATGAAAAAATCGACGTCTGCGCTAAATTCCGCCGCCTTGGATTTGCTGGTGAATTCTGGATTCCTGGACCCCTGGTATGCAGGTTCACCCCACCTCCACCAATATCCTTCCTCCTCCCTCCGATCTCACTCGCCCCCACCATCCGTTCTCTTTCCTTGTTCCCTTCTTCCTCCCCCTCCTCAAGAGGATGAGTAGGAGGGGAAGAGCAAGAAAAGGAGGTGGGAGGAGTACGATGGATCTAGAGCAGGAGGGGGGGCGAGAAGGAAGAGGCGGACGACGATTATGAGGAAAGTGAGACAGGTACCAGTAAATGCAAATAAGAACAATGGCATGGGATAAAGATGGCTGTGATGATGACGATGGTGATGATGATAATCATCATCATCATCATCATCATCATCATCATCATCATCATCAGCATCATCATCAGCAATAATAACAACAACACCTGAATGTGATGATGGTGATGGTGGTGGTGATGATCTGGATGACGATGATGATGATGATGATGATGATGGTGATGGTGATGCTGATGATTATGATGACGATGGTGATGGGGATATGGTGATGATGGTGGTGGTTATGATGACGGTGGCGCTAGTGCTGATGATGGTCACGATGGTGATGGTGCGCATGGCGCTGATGAGGACGATGATGATGATGGTCGTGATGAGGATGCGGATAATGATGGTGAGGCGAGGGTACGCGTACGACGAGGAGGACAGCGGTGACGAGCACGACGGCAGCGTCTGCGACTATTTTCTGCAGCGCGATTTCATCAAAATATGATGATTATGAGGAGGAAGAGGCAGAGGAGGACTGGCAAGTACGCAATAGGCTTCCAGGGTACCTAAATCCATCTTTAAAAATGAGGCGAGTACCTAGTTGGGTGGCTGCCGTTCACCAGAAACCCATTGCCGGAAGCAGCTTTCCCTGCGGGAAAAATATGTCATCGAGGACTCTTGGAGGTCGCATCATTACAGTCGCAAGTCTGGTAGAAACCAGTTGTTCTACTCCTTTGGTTGTCGAGAGTTGTTGCTTATGTGACGCCCATCCCCGCCGACCGAAGTCAGAGGACGAAGGGCATGATGATCGACCGTATCTATAATGGAAAGCGCGCCAGTGGATGGCCCTGAGTACACTAAGGGGGGGTGCTCGCAGAACCCCCCCCCTTTCAAAGGAGGGGGGGGAGTTTCGACCCTCCCCCCCTCACCCCCTCAGAACCACCCCCCTCCCCCCTCCCTGAAGGCGGGGGGGGTCCGGACCGCCCCCCCCCCCTCCCTCCCTTGGCGGTGGAAAGGGGGGCGGGTCGAACCCCCCCCCCCCCTCCCCCCCTTTGCGCCGAACAGGGGGCTGGGGAGGGGGCCTCTCGGGTAGTGAGTAGAGAGTAAAAATTTTGGAGCAGCGATTGGTGAGTAGTGGGTATTTGAAAGTAAGTAGTGCGCAATGAGTCGTCAATGGTGAGTAGTGAGAAGTGGGTCATGGGTACTGATAGTAGTGAGTAGCGCGTAGGGATTAGTGAGTAGTGAGTAGTGAGTAGTGGGTAGTGAGTAGCGGGAAGGATGTAGTGAGTGAGGCATTGTGAGTAGTGAGTAGTGGGGAGTGACTGGTGTGCCGTGAGTACTGCATTGTGAATAGTAGGCAAGGAGTAGGGATGAGGGAGTAGATAATAGCAAATGGCGAGAGGTGAGTAGTGAGTAGTGAGTAGTCAGTAGTGCGCAGTGAATAGAGACTAGTGCGTAGTGAGTGGTGAGTAGCGAGTAGCGAGTAGCGAGTAGGGGGTAGCGAGTAGGGGGTAGCGAGTAGTGAGTAGTGCGTAGCGAGCAAGGTTCTGTGAGTAGTGAGTAGTGAGGAGGGAGTAGTCAGGAGTCAGTAGTGAGTAGGGAGTAGTGCGTAGCGAGTACGGAGTAGCGAAGAGAGAATAGTGCGTAGTGAGTAGTGAGTTGTGAGTAGTGAGTACGAAGTAGTGAGTAGTGAGTAGGGAGTAGAGAGAAGCGAGAAGTGGGCATTGAGTAGTCGGTAGTGAGAAGGGAGTAGCGAGTAGAAATTAGTGAATAGTGAGTCGAAGAGTAGTGAGTAGTGAGTAGCGACTAGTGACTAGTGAGTAGGGAGTAGTGAATAGTGAGTAGCGAGTAGTGCGTAGTGGGTAGTGAATATGTCCTATTGGGTAGCCAGTAGCGCATAGGGAGTAGTGATTTCTGAGCAGCGCATAGTGAATTTACTAAATTGTGACTTCTCAGTAGTAAGTAGTGGATAGTGGTTAGCGGGTAGTGGGTAGTGCTTAGTGAGTAGTGAGGAGTGGGCAGTGAGTAGTGCTTAGTGAGTAGTGAGTATTGCGTACTGGGTAATGAGTAGTGAATATTGAATTGAAAGTAGTGAGTTGGGAGTAGGAAGTAGTGAGTAGTGAGTAGTGGGCGTAGTGAGTAGTGACTAGTGGGTAGTGAATGGTGCGTATTGGGTAGCGTGGGCAGTGAGTAGTGAGTACTGATGTGTGAGTAGTGGGTAATGAATTGCGGTCAATGGGTAATGAGTAGTGATTTGTGATTAGCGAGTAGTGGCTAATGAGCTGTGTTTGGTGAGTAGTGAGTATTGAGTAGTGGGTAGTGAGTAGCGAGTAGGTTTGTAGTGAGTAGTGAGTATTGGGTAGGGAGTAGGGAGTAGTGAATAGTGCGTCGTGGGTAGTGAGTCGTGGGTAGTGAGTAATGAGTCGTGAGTAGTGAGTAATGAATAGTGAGAAGTGAGTAGTGAGTAGCGAGTGGTGAATTGTGGGTAGTGAGTAGTGCGTAATGAATAGTGAATACTGTTTGGGGCTAAGGTTTGGGTTTGGGGTTAGGGTTAAGGGGTAAGGCAAGGGTGCAGATTAGCGTTAGGGGTGTTAGGGGTCGGATTCCGGAGACCAGGGGCGCCGTGGCGAAAGGGGGGGAGGGGGGAAGGGGGGTTCGAATTTGGCGGTCAAAAGGGGGGAGGGGGGGGGGTCGCACCCCCCCCCCTTTTGAAAAGGGGGAACGGGGGAGGGGGTTCCCCGACGACGGACCGGGAAAAGGCGGAAGGGGGGGAGGGGTCCCCCGACGACGGATCGGGAAAGGGGGGGAGGGGGGGGGGTCCCCGACGACGCGTCGGGAAAAGGGGAAGGGGGGGGGGTCCCAACCCCCCCCTCCCTCGGGGTCATCCAGCGGCGCGCCCTCTCTATAATGTGGTTCGCCCACCAGCAGCCTACCTGATAGAGGAGTGACAAGCAGCTGCAAGGACGCCATCAGGCTGCACGTCGCGCAGCGATTGGCCAGGTTCTTGCACTGCCTCGGCCTTTTGGTACACACGGAGAGCCAAGACACAGCGTCAGCGCTCCAATTTTGCTCATCGCACAATCGGCGGGATCGTACTCGCTCGGGGCCGCGAGGCCCAGCATGTGAATGGGAGAAGTGGAAAAGCCCAGGAGGCGACGAGGACGAAGGGCATGATGATGAGGAGTACAGAGGAGGCGGTGGAGGACAAGGAGGAAGAGGAGGAGGAGGAGAAGCTCATGCACCGCCCTCTGAGGGGTTCTGTCGATCACGCGTGCCCTCCTCCTGCGTCACATGTCTCCTTATCCACTTCCGCCTCATCATCATCATCGTCATCATCATCATCATCATCATCATCATCATCATCACCATCATCACCATCATCACCATCATCACCACCACCATCATCATCGTCATCGTCATCGTCATCACCATCATTACCATCGTCATCATCGTCAGCATCACCATCACCATATTATTCACTCGAATGCTTACTCATGGCATTGCATTGGATTGCGTAGCCGAACCCTCTTCAAAATCATTGTGTTTATCAGTGGCCATTTCGGCTGTACTGCTTCTTGTGTGCACCTTCCCTGTCTTTGTTGGCATGGCTCTGCGCTTCTCAAGTCCTGAGTGCATAATTCCGCTCTTGCAGTTCGCGCGGATCTTGCAGGCGGTCCGCGCGAATATCGGGGGCACTGGACACAAGCTAGCGTTCGACCTCTCCACGAAGAAGAGGTCTAGGGGCTAGAGCGCTGCCCTCATTTTGGAGTTGATAGCAATCGGGGCATTTTCTATCGATGTGCACGCCTTGGTCCGCTGTTGTCTGTCGTTCGTGCTTCCTTCCGCTCTTCCCTTGTCGCTTCGATGTCTGTATCGTTATTTGTGTGCCCCCCACCCTCCTCCCGCCCCCTCCTCCTTCTTTTCCTCCGCCTCCTCGGAGTCGGCACTGCGGTGCCTATTCAACTGCGCTTGCACTGCGCTGGTCATGCGGGCGCCCAGACTGACAGGCAGTCGAGCGATGTCCTCCGCTGCTTACAGATCCGTGCTTTCGCCCGTCGTCCCAGTCCTTGGATGCACGCGACGGCTCGCCTGAGGCAGTTTGGCTTGAGCACTGCTCCTGGCTGTTGTCTTGTTGCTGTTGCCTTCCTTTTCCTCCCCCGTTCCCTTCATCCTCCCCGTCCGCTCGCCCGGGCAATGACTGTGACAGGTAGCTTCTCTTGTTGGCGTCTCTCCTGCTCGGGGGGCAGGACTTGTTGTCCAGCCAGCGCCTCCAGCGCGCAGCACAAGTTGTCGTGACAGCGCCATTGGAGCGTCGTGGTGGCCCTCCCAAATGTATATATATATATATACATACATACATGCATACATACATGCATGCATACATACATATACATACATATATGTATATATATATATATGTATATGTATATGTGTATTGCCATATGCGTATATATGTAGAAACAACGATGTGTGAAAATTGGCATATACATGTGTATACATAAACACATACATCTGGACATATGATATGTATATGTGAATATTCATACATCCATATGAATAAACTGACGAATACGCTGAAATCATCCCTGTATACCTGTATACATGCTGCTAAACTCTGCAATGACATGCATACATACATGAGTGTATGCATACGCAGATCCCGAATATCATCGATACGTCAGCATGAACAGCTCGATTTGTGTATGTGTACAAATGATATGACATTTGTAGTCCACCTAAGCATATATATGCGTAAATCCGACACCCCCCCACACGCACAAAGAAATACAAATACCGACATATAGACATACGCATCTCTGAACACTTCGATCCCTATGATTGTGCAAGCATGAACGTATACATGTATACACACACACGTATGCATGCACCTTTGTATACACGTATGGATACACGTATGTGAGTACATGCGTGTGTACGCTTGTACGTATGCATATATATGTATATATGTATATATGTATATGTATATGTATATGTATATATATATATATGTGTGTGTGTGCCCGTATACCGTCTAACAATAAGGCGGTCTCGAGACACGGCTGTTCGGGACGAGGCCCGCCAGCTCCGGCAGCGGAGTTCTGCGCTGACGCCGTTTCCAATGGAAAATGGCGTCTGCGCATAATCAATGCTTCACACCGCCCAGCGCCACGGAGCCAGGGGGCGAAGGCAACGGGCCCAGGGGGCCCCAGGATGTCCCAGGAGGCTCCAGGACGTCCTGGGAGGCTTGGGAGGCCCCACGAGGCCCCATGAGGATCCAGGAGGCCCCAGGAGGTTTCCCAAGGAGGTCCAGGAGGCCCCAGGAGGCCACAGGAAGCCCCAGGAAGCCCCAGGAGGCCCCAGGAGGCCCCAGGAGCCATCCGGAGCCTTCAGGAAGCGATAGGAAGCCCCAGGAGGCCCCAAGAGACCCCTGGAGGCCCCTGGAAACCCTAGGAGCCTGCAAGATGACATCCCGTCCTGGTCGATCGCACAGGAGGGCGGGAGGGGGAGGAGCGGAGAAGGGAGGGAGGGGGGGACGAGGGAGGGGGAAAGGAGAGGGAGGGGGGGGGAAGGAAGGGGGCCGGGGGGAAGGGGAGGAGGAGGGGGGGGGGGGGGGGGGGGAGGGAGAGGCGGGAAGAGGGAGAGGCGGCGGGAGGGAGCCGACGGGGACGACAACGGGACGAGAGCAGGACGAGAGCGAGAGGGGGGAGAGGAGGAGGAGCAGCGGAGGAGCGCGAACCGCTCGAGAAATAGAAATAGAGATAGAGAGAGAGAGAGAAAGAGAGAGAGAGAGAGAGAAAACAAAAAAAGACACAAAAAATACAGAGAAAGAGAAAGAGAGAGAGAGAGAGAATAAACAAAATGAGGGAGAAAGAGAGAGAGGGGGGGGGAAAAGAGGGGGAGAGAGAGAGAGAGAACGGGAAAGAGAGAGAGAGAGAGACAGAGAGAGAAAGAGAGAAAGCGGGAGAAGGAGGAAGAGGAGAAGGAGGAGGAAGAGGAGGAGGAAGAGGAGGAGGGAGGGGAAGAACAGGGTGAGGGAAAGGAAGAGGGAGAGCAAGAGGAATTTAGATAGGGAGAGGGAGAGGGAGGGGGAGAGGGACGTGTGCCTGGTTGGAGGAGCCCCGCACGAACCATCCTTAGCCGTGGGCAGAAGGGGCGGGGAGGGAGGACGTAGAGGAAGAGCGAGAGAGAGGGAGGCAGAAGCAAAGGAGAGAGAGGGGATGCATGGGAAGGAGAAGGAGAGCGAGCAAAAGAGAGCGAGCGCGCGAGGGAGAGAAAGAGACAAAGAGAGATGGGGGAGAGGGATATTGGGACCGGGACGGGATGTCAGTAGATGTAGGAAGGGGAGAGCGGGAGAAGAAGAAATCCGCCGAGCCTGTCGGCGTGTATGAGAGGCTCTTCCGCTTGGGTCGTCTGCGTCGTCGTCCGACAAAGAGAAACGAGGGAGAGGGATATTGGGACCGGGACGGGATGTCAGTAGATATAGGAAGGGGAGAGCGGGAGAAGAAGAAATCCGCCGAGCCTGTCGGCGTGTATGAGAGGCTCTTCCGCTTGGGTCGTCTGCGTCGTCGTCCTCGTAGTCGTCGTCGTCGTCGCTCCCCCAAAATTCCCTGGTCCCTCCGCCTCAAGCGCGCCAGCGAAAGGGAAATTGAGCAACGCCGAGATTGACTCGATGGAAAAACTTCTTTCTTCCCTTCGATCCATTTCCCGCGCGGGGGGGGGTCCCAGGGGGGGCCCGAGGGGGGTCCCAACTGGGGTCATTGGGGGGGGTCATGGGGGGGTCATTCGGCGGTGGACACACCTCCCTGTAATCAACCACCCTTCTTGTGAAAACGGCCTAGGACCGAAATCGACGGACCTGGACCCGCAAAAATGACGATCGCGATGCCCTCTCGCGAACCGAAAACGGCCAATTCGCTAGTCGACGTGTCAGGGTAGGGTTTATCAACCTCCGAGACTGGGGTCATGATGGGGGGTCACGAGAGGGGTCACGGGGGGGGCGATCCGGGGAAGATCCCCAGGGGTGCGCGACCTCCCCCTGGGACCCCCTGATGGCTCCAAGAGGCCTCGAGCTGCCTCGAGAAGGCCTCGAGTTCGATCCAGATACCCCCACATGGATCAAGATAGCTTCCAGCACGCTTCGGATTCGATTCAGATATCCCCACATGGATCCATACAGCTTCCAGCACGCCCAAGAAGCTATCCGAGAGGGCCTGAGAACGTCCCATGGAGCGCCAAGAAGGCCCAAAGCGATTCGTCTTCGCGGCCGGAGGGGAGGAGGCACATGGGAAACACTCCGTCTGCGATCGGCGGCCCCCAAGGTGGCCCAAACAAGTGCCCCAGAACCTCTGGGAGAGCCCCACTGGAGCCCCAAGAAAGGCCCACGAGGGCCTCAGAGAACTCCACTATCGCTAAGGGACCCCACGATGGGCCCACGAGGCCTTCCCCTCTCACTGCCTCTCTCTCCCTTTCACCGCTTCCCCCCTCGCTCGCTCGCTCATGGCTGTGGGCCGTCGTGCACGTGCAGCCGTCTGTCCTGCCCCTCCACCTCGGCTGAGGGCCCAAGGTGGAGGGGGGGACCATTAGGGAAGATGTGAGAAGAGAGAACTCTAGCCTAGAGAGAAACAGCAGGGGCACAAGTGGAGGGGGGGGAAGCGCCTGTCAAGACAGTTGCGGTGGTCTAGCAGATGCAAACGTCAGCCCGAAAACGCCAGCGGGAGAAGCGGAGGGAGCCGAGGGAACACGGGGCCCAAGCTAACCCGGGAAACAAGGAACGCACGAGTTGCAGAGCACCGCTGCGCAGCGAACGCGGAGCGAGGCAGAGGAAGAGGAAGTAAATAAAGGAAAGAAACAAGGAGCGGCGGAGGTGGGTGGGCAGGTGGGCGCGCGCTCAAGGCGAGACCCAGCCGGTTGCCGAGGCGCTTTGGCCCAGGCGGCTGGCCGCGGCATTGGGTGGCCCAGCGGGTGGCCCAGCGGGTTGCCGAGGTGCCGTGGCCCAGGTGGTTGGCCGTGGCATTGGAAGTGGCAGACGCCTGCGGCAGGCAGAGATGGGGCCAAGACGCGACGCGGAAAAAGAGGCGCGAACTTAGTGCCTACAAAGGCCACCCGGGGGTAGCCGCAGCGGCTCGCTCTTGGGACTAAGAGGCCGAGGGCCGCGGCGGCTGCTCTTGATGGAGGCGGGGTGCTGCAATTAGCCTGCTCTTTTGGAGCGGGGTGACCTCCCAGGCGGCACTGCTGAAACGGCCACG